GCCGGGTGAAGGGACGCCCCAGGACGCGCCTCCGAGATCGGAGAGCGCGATCCGAGCGTCCCCGCCCGCCCCTCCGTGGGTGGGTGGGCTCCACTCTCACTTCCGGAGTTGATCCGGAATAACTCCTCAGGACAGCGGGCGGCCAGGAAGATTGGAAGGGGAGAACTCCTCCCCTCCCATGGCCGCCCGCCAGCGAGGGCGTTCCTTCTCTAGGTGGGAGGGGAACCTCTTAGTTGGGGTTCCCCTCCGGGGCTCTATATCTCAGGTGGGCGGGAGGGGGGCGGGGACGCCATCTGCGACCCCGCCTAGCACGCCTCCTCCTCGGCGCCACTTCCTCCTCTTCCTCCTCCGAAGAGGAGGTGGAGGGGGGGAGCGGTACTACCTCCGCCTCCCCCCTCCTAACTCTTTCGGCGGCTTCCTTCCGCCCCATTACGGAGGAGCAGAAGGAGACCACCGCCTCCCAGGCCTCTTTGCTCCCGACCATAGCTTTGACTACGGCCGGGAGCGAGAGGTCGCCGCCAACCACTGCGATCAGGACACCGCGATCGGCAGCCCACGCCTGGCATTCGGCCAGGGTGTGCTGCGCGGTGTCCCGATCGGCCGCACAGTGGTGGCAATGCGTCGTACGCTCTTTACCTATGCGACACAGGTACTCACCGAAGCAGCCGTGCCCGGTGAGCACCTGTGTCAGGTGGAAGTTCAACCCGCCGTGGCCCCTGTCCACCCATTCGAGGAGACAGGGGCGGATGGCCTCGATGGTCCGCCTGCCCGGCACGTTGGGCCCCCCGAGTTGCCTTTTCCAGCGTCGGAGGGCCTTGCGCCGGGCCAGGGCTCGGATCCGTCCTATGGTCCCGGCCGACAGAGGTTCACCCTCATCGCGGAGCCTCCTTAGGCGGGTGTACGTGTCAGCGTACACCCTAAGGCTGCGCCCCCCGCAACTCCCCTCAAAGCTAACCTAACTCAACCTATCGTCACATTAACCGTCAGTCATTTATTAAAGTTTATTAAAGTATTTAACTTTTTTTTTTAATAATTTTTTAGTAAACAATGACTAACGGCTAATGTGACAATAGGTTAGGTTGGGTTAGTTTTGAGGGGGATTGCGGGGGGCGCAGCCAGTTTCGCGATTTTATTTCTCCTTATATTACATGGAGCACAATTTGCGCGGAACTATTTGGTGACAAATAAATATTTGTATTCATTTTTTTAAATTGTATTAACTTAATTTACTGCAATTTTTACTAATATGTTTATCTTTTCAGCTTATCTGAATACAAGCATTTTAATTAATAAATACCGTTAAAAATTAATATTTTATAATTCCCCATACCGCTCTTCCGCTCAAAATATGTCTCATGTAATATAATGACTTCTGCACACAGGACGCGGTAATGCTTGCCGCGCGGCGGAAGTCTGCGCGACAGTCAATCAGTATGTTGTTTATCCGTAAGAGCTAGAAGGTTATTACGGAAAGCAGCATATTGATTGGCTGTCGCGCGAACTTCCGCCGCGCGGCAAGCATTACCGCGTCGTGTGTGCAGGAGTTATGAGGCAATCAAAACAGACGCGGAACGCGTAGCGGATCTAGTAAGATTTGTCTTCCGCGTTTCCGCGTTTTGCGTTTCCACGCTTTATGTAATGGCACCCTAAGATCGAACTATGAATACCGCCCATAATGATTCGACCTGATAATTCACTAATAGCGTGTTCGACTGGCCCTGGGTTAATCGCTCCGACAGCGATTAATGACATCATAAGTCTCTACTAGCCAATCATAAAGCTTACAAGTATTTGTCAACCAATAAACGTAGGCTGAATAACCCAGAGTAGGTTAACCCAGAGCTAGTCGAACATGCTATAAATAATTCTTTGCATCGGTTGGTAATGTCCAATCATATCGTGGTTAAAGGCCGGTATTCATAGGACGGTATTCATAGTCCGATCTTATAGCATGTTCGACTGGCTCTGGGTTATTCAGCCTATGTTTATTGGTCGAACAAGTAATAAGCTTATAAGCTTTATGACTAGTCTACTAGCTTTTGGCTAGTAGAGACTTATGATGTCATTAATCGCTCTCGGAGCGATTAACCCAGGGCCAGTCGAATACGCTATTATATTTAAGATCAACTTAAGTACTGTCTTAAGATGTCATGAACCAATCACAGAGCCGTATTTGCATCGAAAACTCATCAGTAATATTTAATATAATGAAACCATTGAAAAACAACAACCAAGAATCAGATCCCAAAGCGTTTTTCGGCTGCGTTCCAAAATTCACTTCCAGTGCTGAAATTCTATAGTATACGTGATATGAACTATACATTTTCAGTACTGGCAGTGAATTTCGGAACGCAGCCTTCGTAAGCACCTATTGAGTGAGAATGAGAGAGAGAGAGGGCCGTAGCGCGTTGCACGTTGTACGTCGCATTACCGTACGTTGTTATACATCTAGAAGAGGAGAAAATGTCATCGTGCGAGCAAATTCAAGATTTCACGTGTCTGTAACAACACTGAAATAATCATAGCTTCAACAGCTGCAGTATTCTGTACGCGTTAACAGTGTAGAAATGGAAGCGGACTATCAGCCGACGTTGAGTCCATCGCGGACGTTAATAGGTAAAAGACGTGAAAGACGGCTGACATACTATATTTCGCGATTGTTGACAATAATGCATCTTTTGTCTTTATATCGGTACTTTTTCGCATATGTGTTTTGCAACTGGATTATGTTACGTTTATTAAATGAGATCAAATTTATTGCACGGTATTGAATAATATTAACTAACTGTTTACTTTGTATTCTTTGTAGAAATATACACGAAATATATACAGACGTGTACATACTAATGTCATCTATTTTTTGGTGTTTATTTACTGTCGATATTCTGATTTTAAATCTTTATTTAGCAGGTATAACTAACGACTGTGAAGATCCATACCCCAGTTTATCTGATTATCATGATTATGAACCAAATCTGGAATTTGATGACACAGAATTGCAAACTACCTCCAATAATGGTAATATATCCAATGAAATTTGCTTGATTTTTAATTTGTATTGTATATTTTATAGTTGTTTTATTACAGCTGTACAACTTCTGGAAGAAAAATTAGATTTGGCCAGTAGCGGCACAGGTACTGGGATAGATTATTTGGAAAGCCCAGTGAGTGACGGCACGATTGAAGAGAACTTTGAGGAAGCTTTGGTAGATGCTCCAGTTATTGAATCTGGTGTGTGACCTTTTACCTTCTGTTAGTAGCCACTAAATGTCATGGCATTCGGGGCATAGCAGGTGAATTATGTAGAACGTTGTATAGTTTGTTAAATTGCATGGTGTAAGGGTGAAAGAAGAAAAGGAATGTAACTATCATTAAATATCGCTTCTTAAATAGGTTTGCATTAACTTCATATAAGATTCAATCCCCTGTAGCAGGATGGTAACATTGGTCAATAGATAATTTGTTACATGGATTTTCTGGTGTATTCCTAATGTATCATTATGCATAGAATTCAAAAATGAACTCAGCATCTCTCACCTGCAGTTGTTTTTATGACAATCATCTGATATCTAATATATTGTAAATGGAACATTCCACTCAATTCCTAATTCCATTCTATATTTTTCATATTGAAGTACTATCAATATTAAATATCTTCTATAAGAAGTTTTTTTATTTAAGCAATATATCAAGATTAACAATTTTTTCCTAATTAAGTACCATATATGATAAAAACATATTTTTTTTAAGACATACTACAAGTCAAGTGCAACAGAAGAAATCACTAACTTCTACATTTTAAATTAGGTAAATTATGTACATGTAAAAAAAATCAATTTTCTTGAAATTTAAATTATATCACTTTAGTGATAGAAAAATATTTGGTTACATGTTTAGAATTTGAAATATTTGGTTACATGTCTAGAGTAAAAAATTCTACATAGATCACAATTTGATCCATGTAGCAAGTTTCTTTTTTCTCATAGACTTTGTAATCATAATCATTGTTCATCTTTTTCATTGAATACACATTTTTTTCATGGCCATATATACAGTTGCTTCAAGGGATCGAATAATTCTTGCTGGTTGTATTTTTTGTTGGAATGCATTTGTTAAGTATGAAAGTCTTGACAATAATTGAAGTTTATTACAACAAATATCTCTGTTGATAAGCAGCAGAAGATCTTGCTGCTTTAGATGGTGAACTCGCCGATGAGGAAGATTATCTAGACATATCTAGACACGGAATTGTGGAAGTAGTCGGCGATGATAGTGCTGGTCGCAAAATAATAGTAGTGTCAGCCTGTAAATTGCCTCCTGTTGGAAAGGAGACCTTCAATCATGCTAAGCTGCTTAGGTTGGTTATATATTATAAGATAATATGCAACAATGATTTGTCATTGCATGTCGATTAACGCATTAATTGTTATTTTACAATATCATGACTCTATCTAAAATTTATAAGTATGTTGTATGATATTATTCTTTTCTAATATATTTTACAGGTATCTTACATATACCTTAGACACGTTCGTGGAGCAAGATTATAGTCTCGTTTACTTTCATTATGGTCTTACGTCCAAAAATAAACCACCTTTATCATGGTTATGGCAGGCGTACAAAGCATTTGATAGAAAATATAAAAAGAATCTCAAAGCTCTATATCTAGTACATCCGACTAATTTTATTAGAATTGTGTGGCAAATATTCAAACCAGCTATTAGGTATATAACATTCTCTCATTTAAACATTTCCTTACTTTATAAATTATTATACTTTTTGTAAATATTATATAAATACACCGAATTTTTGTAGCGTAAAGTTTGGACGGAAGATGATGTACGTTAATTATCTAGAGGAATTGGCACAATACATTAATTTAGATCAACTTATCATACCTCCCCAAGTGATAGAGTATGTAATCTTTATCGTTTGTTCGTCAAATGTTTTTTTGATTGGAATAATATAATTTTACTTATCTGCTGATATTTTCAGACACAACGAACAGCTATTGATAAAGAATAAAAAAAACCTATTAACAAATCCGACGCAAAGTACAGTAACTACGCCAGTTGGCACGACTCAATTCGGTGCTAGCCTGCAATTTATAAAGGAAAATAATAACGGTGACTCGATACCGCCAATACTAAGACAGTGTGTAGAATTTCTCGATAGTCCTGACGGTATGCCTCTCAATCGTCATGTCTTGCGATAATTTCTTTAGTTTTTCAATCAAAATCAATAATGGTGGAAAAACATTTTAGCTCTCGAAACTGAAGGAATATTCCGAAGATCAGCCAACTTAATGGTTATCAAAGAACTTCAGAATCGTTGTAACCAAGGTCTACCCATCGATTTTCAAGGAGATCCACATATTGCTGCGGTTCTCCTTAAAACTTTTCTCCGCGAATTAGACGAACCTCTTATGACCTATGAATTATATGATGAAATTACACAATTCCAAAGTAAGTTTTTTACTTTTATTTCTTTACTTTTTTTATTTGAATCAAATCAGATGGAAGTGTTAATATATAACAAAATAAAATTTAGATTTTATAAATCGTTTTAGCATTATCAAAGGATGAACGTCCTCGTAAAGTTAAGATATTAGTACTAGAGAAGCTTCCTGAGGACAACTATCAAGTCCTTAAATACATCGTACAATTTTTATCAAGGGTACATAATTATATATCTTGTTATCTGTTTGTGAAATAACTATTATAAAGATATGTGAAAAGGTAAATCTCGATTGTTTTTCCTATTGGCAGGTAATGGACCGATGTGATTTGAACAAGATGACTTCTAGTAATCTTGCAGTCGTATTTGGACCGAATCTAGTTAGAGCGCCGCCAGCTCGTGGGATGTCTCTCTCCGCGATAGGGCCCATCAACCAATTTATAGACTTTTTATTCACCTATCAAGATAAGATATTCATTATTTAAAAGTACACCATGCAGACAGTCGAGGGCCTAATCATAACATTCAATTATTGATGATATGATTATTACCACGTATAATATTTGCACTTTCGTTTACTGGAATATTTTAATATCCGACAATAGAGAAAAGAGCAGAAGAGAAGATGCCCAATATTTGTTTACACGTTTTTGCACAACATTTTTTATAAGAATACAACTAAGTACAATAATTTTCGCGGGTGAGAGGAAAAGAAGAATGTGTATATCTAGAAAAAAAATTACGACCAAATACCAAAGATATATGAAACGTCACACAGTGAATATATATATATATATATATATATATATATTTATTTATTTATATATATATATATATACATATATATATATATATATATATATATATATATATATATATATATATATATATATATATATATATATATATATATATATACATACACTATTTAAAATAGTTATTTAAAATAATATTTACTAATTTAATAAAATAATATGTTCGAAAATAGAAGAAGATATCGAGGGATGCTTTTATTATCGCGAGAGATCATGAATGATAATATTTTTCTTCTAAAATCTCTTATATAAACTTTTTTAATGTCATATTTAATTTAATTTTTATTTAACACAACGAACGTTTTATTTTAAAAGTTATGCCAATTATTTTTTAATCTACAATCTTTGAAAGTTTAGTTATTTTTATTTAGTTGTTATTTTTACTATATTGATTAAAACGTTTAAAATAAGATTGTTCCAGTCATTATTATCAAGTCAATTTAAACAATTTCGATAAATTTTTTTTCATTGCATAACAATGAGTTTTTAATGAGTTTTTATTACAGAGTTAGACTTATAAATTGTTTAATTGCCCTGTTTCGGTTACTACATAATTTATAAAATATCTCGTAATTTTTATGGAAAAAATATCTCTATATACTAAACGTAAAATATGTCAACTAAAAATAAACTTTTTAATACTTAATCTTTTGCATTGCAGGATTTTATGTATATACTGGAAAAATTGATAAAATCTAATAATTGTGGTTTAACAAATGTAGTATACATGATACTGTATCTAAGTAAATTCAAGAAGGTGAGATATATTAAAGAAAATGATTAATAATGCAAAAGAATTTATATATGTGATACACGCGCACGCATACACACACACACATACCACACACATATTATAGAAAGAGAAAGATACATAGTGTTAATAAAACAGACTTTTCTGGTGACTTAGTCACTGTGTAAATTTTAGTATTCTTCTGATATTCTTTTCTCGATTATAATCTTGAGAGAAGAATTTGTGTGATCGTTAATTTCGTTTTATTATCATAATAAAGAGATAATGAGAACGAAAAAAGAGAGGAATATAATTTGTATTGTGAATGTCAGGGTACTATATAGTTTAATGTTTTAGTTAATTTTATCTGTCATTTAGATATAAGGATAAAAGACTTAGCATTTTTCGTGAAACAAATCGTATCTATATATATCCTTTTAAACGGTCCTGCCATTATGGGTAACTGGGATAAAGTATGGGCTAACAGCCTAAAACTGCTCTCTATTATTGAAAAGACTAACCCAGACCTATATAGAACTGATGTGACATTCCTTCTCATTGTCTATAGAAAAATGTATAATAAAATATGTTAATTTCTAAATCTATGATAATTGGTACATCGATTGTATGTTACAATCCTTTGTAAATTCTAAACATCTCACGCACAGAACTTATATACAAGGTGTAAAAAAAAAGTAAATAGAACATTCTTCTATAACATTATTACAATTTACTATTATATATTTTTTTTTTCATATAACTTATAACAATAATTTAAACTTTACAATAATTATTTATCGCTAATTTTTATAATTTCAAACGAATAAAAACATTGTGAGTTAACAAACAATATTTAACGACTTTCGGCTATTCATCTTTGTATCCAAATTTATAATAGTTATTTTTTATAGCAAAATGCAATACACATCAAACAGTAATCAATGTTTCTATAAAACAAGGAATTATATCTTATATCAGTTTCGAAACAATTTTCCAAACAAAATGTGGATTATATCTATATAGTGCCTTTATATATAACCTATAATATACGATTGTAATATATACGTCATTTAGCGGAAGATTTCGATCTAGCGAATAGATTTAAAAATTTTGCCCAATGATGCACGCTACAGTCTCTGTGCACTATCTAATGGAAACTTCATCAATTACTAGAGGTCTGTTTGTAGTTGAATTAGTTCCACAATTCGGGAACTTAAAAAGAAACAAATATACAGAGTGTTCCAGATTCGTCTTCACAACGTTTATGGAAACATAGGATGGATTCATGTAAACATAAAGATATGATAGTGTCATACCGTTTTGCGATATTCGCAATAAATCTCGAAATATTACTTAAAGAAGATTGGTAAATAATCACACGCGATATGGTAGATGAGTTGTAAACACCGTCTGCTATTGTATATTTATACATTAGATCAAACTGAACAAAAAATCTATTATGGTTTTTCTATGTGGCCTTGCAAATGGCCACAGATTTTTAGATATTAATTGAAGAAGATTTGTGCATTATCGTGCACAATCAACAATTTTTCTTCATTAATAATTAAAAGTTTACGTCATTATCATTTGCAAAATGATGGAAGACTTTTTTGTTCAGTTTCACCTAATGTAAAAGTATACAACAGCATACATCGTCAATACAGCTCATCTACCATATCACACGTGATCATTTACCGATTTTCTTTAATTGAAATCTCGAGATTTATTGCAAATATCGCAAAACGGTATGGGACATTTATGTACATCTCAATCTGTTCTATATTCTCACGAATATTTCAGAGACGAATCTAGGGTATCTTGTACAATTAGTATAAAAAAGAAATAGAACTAGTATAAGTTAATTCAGTAATCAGTTCAGCTACAAAAAATAGACCATAGGTCCGTTTATTTTCAAAAAACTTCTAAACTATAGTGCAATAAATTAGAGTAAAACAAATATACTTTCACTCTAACTTATTGCACTAGCGTGCCCTAGTTTAGAAGTTCTTAAAAAACGAACGAAAAATGAACCTACCAATTGGTTCAAGAAGCCTTTACTACATGACGTGCAAAACATTTTCGCCATGCACATGGAAAGCTTAAATTCAAAACCCCGTAACTTTTTATTTTTTAATATTTTATTATAAAAGTTTGTACGATTTTATATTATATATTAATAAAAACATTGTGTAAATAAGAAAACAAGGAACAAAATAATAGCGAAATAACAGTCGTTTCTGAGACTATTCTTTTTTAATGATGACCTCTGATAACCTTTTGTAAAAACTTCTAAACGCAAAAATGGAAATACATTCTCAATTTACAATAAATTCTTTAGGTGTTATCATAGTCGATTTGTAAATAATTTTTTAAAAGTTCTTTTTTAAATGATTAAAAAAAAAACATTTTTCTGTAAAATAAATATTGGAAAGTAAGTATAATTATAATTAAAAAAAAAATCGGCTTTAATAACGCTTAAAAAATTTATTGAAAACTAAGAATATATTTTCTTTTCCTCGTTTAAAAATGTTTACAAGAAATTATCAGACACTCACCGCGCGCGCGCGCGCGCGTGTGTGTGTCATGTGTGTGTGTGTGAGAGACAGAGAGAGAAAAAAAGGTTATACAGAAATTGCTATTGTTTCATCATTTCAATTTTCGTCTTCTAATTTACATATTTATATTTAATATAAATTCATACTTTATTTTATAATAAAATATTAAAATATAAAAAAAAAGTTATAGGATTTTGAATTTAAGTTTCCCACACACACGGCAAAGGTGTTTCACTTCCTCAATGTAAAAACTATCTGATTAGAATCTGATAGATTTGAAGCTACAATAAATCGATCTATCACCAGAAATACCAGATCATAGGCCATAGGATCTTCCACTACTTGATCTCTATTACATGCATGGCTTATCCGTGTGCGAAACTCACTGAAATGAAGCTTACTAAGGTTAGATTCAAACGGCTTTGGAAAACGAAGTCAAGAACCGGTCGATATAAAAAGCGCGAAGTTCTGATCGCGCTAACACATTTTCTATTTCCAAATAAAACTTAATTTTGGCAAATAACTCTCATAAAAAATAATGATTAAAATACTTATTTATATTTATAAAGAAATATTTATAAAAAGTAAAATAATCGGGGGCTCCTTAGATTTACAATCATGAAATAAAAAAGAAGCTGTAACAGTTCCCGTTTTGTGCGAATAGAAAAAATATTATGCTCATGATAAATTTTTTTTAAAATAGAGTAAGTTTCGCCTGAAATATGTTTTTAAATAGCGAATAATTCTGGAGATAATCGCGTGAAAAGATTAAAATATTATATTCCGTATGTAAATAATAAATATAATTATAATTATTATATGAAGCAATTTTCCACATCACCTATGATATATTATTATTGATGCTTTTTTTTAGTGGTTTCCATTATTAACTAATCCAATATAAACATAATATATACATCGTTATTTTTTACATGCGGTATCTTTGACAGACAAAATATCTTTTACAGTCATATTTTTTCTGTTTCCAAAATGATGTCAGCAATAGCACCTCGTGAGTGACGTAGAAATCTATATAACTATAACAATAATTATGATTACATATATTTGTGTATATACAAAACATATTATTTTAATCTCATGCCATTATCTCCAAAAGTACTCACTATTTAAAAACATTTCGGATGAAACGTATTTTGTTTTGAGGACTATTTACGATGAGCACTGTTATTGTCTTTTTCTTGTTTTATGGTTGTAAAACTATAAAGAGCCCGATTATTATATCTCTTTTGTAAATATTTTTTTATAAATATATATATTTTAATCATTTTTTATAAAAATTTTTCGTCAAAAAATATTTTATTTGAAGATAGAAAACATGCTAGTGAGCCAAATTCCGAGTTTTTAGTTTGTTCGACCGATTCACTTTTGAAACCGCATTTAGCTTTAAGTCTCATAAGCGAGCTTTAACTGATTACATAAGCTTCGCATATAATAGTGATAGGAAGTTCCACGTCTTATGACTTATAGTGAATTCGGTAGCTTGCACTAGTGCGCACTGAGTGCGCGTTAAGTCTTGTTTACAGTACATTCTTATATTTAAGATCGTGTCTTAAATACATATTTAAAAACATTTTAGCAAATAAAGTGATTCGTACGGATGTTATACATATATTACTGGTTAAAAATATTTGAGAATTTAAGACAATTTTTAAATATATTAACATACTATGAATGAGCCTTAGTGCGCACTCAGTGCAAGCAACCGAATTCGCTATTAGTAACGCTTTGCTTACTACTGTAATTGAACATATTCTAGATCATATACAATTTGGACTGTTTTCAATAACAGTCCACAATAGTCTTGTCAATTTTCTTTCCAAATTTAGTGTTGCCAAACTCTAGTCAGGAAATATCCAGCTCAATCACCCAACGTACATCAAACATCAATATGTACAATCATTCTAAATTATTATTTTGGATAAAAGCCGAAGGTTTCTCTAGTTTTCCTTTGAAAATTTCGTGTTAATGTGTTATATAGTTTTTGTCTAGTGACTAGCTAATATTTAGCTAATTAATTTACAACAATTTTTTTCTCAAATAATAGATTTCATATCTGTATAATTCAGCATACGTATACACACGTGCATTCATACGTGGATAATGTATCTATATGTACACAAAAAGTAAGGCATTTGTAGTGCAACATTAAGAGATACCTCAAGAAATATTTTTTAGAAGATAGTAAAATTTGTCACACTCTAAAATGCCTCATCTTGTATATACTCGATGAATCATTATGATTAGACCTTGTCTAAACTTGAATATAACTCAAACTGAAAGATCTACGAAAAACCACCACTGTTACTGCCATCACCACTGCTTTTTCCACTACCACCACTGCCGCCACTATTACTACCACCACCGGTGCAACAGGAACTTCTGGTTGGTTGATTTTGTTCCATCTCGTCTTCAACCACTACGACGTTGCGACGTGTACTATTAGTCCTTGTGAGAGTAGACTTCTGTTCTGCCTCGTCTGCATGCTGCATCATGCGTCTTGTTAGATCTAAGAACATTTCTTCAACATTCTGATTTAACTTGGCCGATGTGTGAAAGTGCATAGCACCCACTTGTTTGGCATATCTGCAAGTGACAACTTGATTATATTTATCTGTATTTTCCATTAAGAGGACAAGAAAGTCGTCGTACTTACTCTTCTGCTTCTTCTATAGCAACATTTCGATCTTTCTCTAGATCCACTTTATTACCTGCTATTGCTAAGCATATTTCGCTACCTAACATCTTTTTCAGTTCTTTCACCCAATTTTTCACCTAACAACAAAACCCTATTGTTACTAAACTTTTCCTCAACTATGAAAATAAACAAAGTTTGTATTAATAGTCACTACATAAAACTTGTCTCATGTAAAATATTCCATGTAAATATTCATGTAAATATTCATGTAAATATTCATGTAATATTCATGTAAATATTCATAATCAAAATTTAAAATTAGACTTGAATTTTTTAAATCATATGATATATGTGACATTATATTTGTAATCATAATTTAGCTGAATAACTCACATCTAACTCTAAATCTAAGTTTGAATATCTCATTTGAAGCAAATTTCAAATAACAACTATTAATATGAGTCTTATAATATGAAATAACACTAATAAAAAAAATTATATTCTTGATACAAACCATCAATTCTAGTTAAGGAGTTTATTCACTTAAACTAAAATGTTTAAAATTATACAAAAAAGACCCTGCACAAAACCTATGGAAAATGGTTTTCGGTCAAATTGGCTGAAATTTCATTATGTTATAGTTTTCGCCATGCTGATAAAAAGTTATCATTGCACCAAGTCCTAAAAGTCAATATTTCCCAAGATATAAAGGGTCAAAGTAGTAAAATATGGTCATCCGCAGTAGTAAGACGTATGTTATAAGTATAAGTGATACATTGATAT